TATTTTGAGTAAACCTATTTTTCACTCTATTATAGAATGAGATATAGAGTACCATTGGAACACTTTTAATCTAAAACTCTATTCTAGAGTAAAAAATAAAGTGGGGTTAGAGATGCCCTTAGAGTAGCTAGATAAAACCCTTTTACAAAAAAAAGAAGTAGCTAGACATTTTTTGTGTGACTTAAACCGTATAAAACAGCAAATAGTGGTGTCACTTAAATAAGAGCTTAACATTTCTAAGAATTATCATTATGGATGGTCGGCTATATATTAATAACAAAAGGTACAATGAATTAATTTGTTGTTTGTCGCCTGTGAAATTACTTTATTCAGTGGTTTTGACGACGTCAAGAGCAATATATAAACTTAATTACATTTCTTTTTAAACGCATTTTTTTTTCCATTATAGTACTACCAAGCTTTCATGAGCTCACATGGAAATTAAATAATATGATACATGTTGTAAAAAAACAGACATCAGATTTCCTAAGTAAGAAATTAATGATTCGTGTGGAAAATGTTCAAAATAGTTAGTGATCTACATCGTAATAACAGTTACGTGAATCACAATTCAGAAATAAGAGCGAGTTGTGTTGGCAGTCCATTGATGAACATGACTACATGAACAACTAAAAAACATAAATAAATCAAACATTAAATTATGATTATGAAAGAATCAAAGAAGGAGAATAGGTACGTAAACCTATATAAAATGATATAGTTGACGCAAAACATAAAAATGATAAAAACTAAAACAAATGTCAACGTAGCCTACATTTCCAAGATAACGGGATCAACTAGTATTAGGCAATTAATATATAATCACCTAAAGAAACTGACCAAGATATTGACGACTTGAAGTTGTCGATCTAATCTTCCCCAAAATAAAAATCAATGAAAAATGTATAAATAATATTTATATGACTGAGAGACTTTTCTCAAATGTTAAATAATAACCTCCGGGTCACGAGAAATATCGTATAGCACCAAATATCCACGGAACTATGATCCCGTTTTATTTATCCCTGAGAATAAAGTTCGCAATCTATTTCCCCACCAAATTTGGTTTAATTATGATTTCTGAAAATCGAATTTCAAATCTCCACTCTCATATAATAATACTGAGTAAAACTAAACCAAAATAAAATTAAAAACCCGACCAAACCCTGATCTAGATCAGAACAGTAATCAGATCCAACATTCGAACTTAAAAATATCCGACTGATTAAATCTTAATCTAGTTAGTCATTGGCTTAACATGGTCTACGGTTTGGTTAAAAATAATAAACCAATAAAAATCGACTTTGTGGGTTTTTAGATTTTGATCTTATAACTGTGGGGAAATATCGATATAACTTTAATTTAGTGGAAAAATATATTTCGAACTTTATTCTCGGAGATAAATAGAATGATATCATAGTTCCGTAGACATTTGATGCTATACGATATTTCTAGAGGGGAAATAGATCGTAGACCCAATAACCTCTTGTGTCAACAAGTTAAGAACATATGCTTTAGTCTAACATGAATGCATCAGTTAATGCATCAGTTAGACTATTTCTAACTCATCTCTATGATTTTCATTTAAAATAGAAATTATGAAATATAAATTAATTTTTTTCTAATGTATTTCTCTATAATAGATACATGCTATTTATCTTTTATATATATATATATATATATAGAAACCAAACTGATTTTCATTTTATTATTGCAGCGTCGAAAGTATTTTAAAAATATTTTTAAAACAAACAATTTTTGTTTGGCTAAAAAATATTTCAATATAAAACTTAATAAGTAGTAAGTTCATAAAATATTTCACAATTTAACTGATTAAAGCACAATTCATTGAATGTTGGATAATCATGTTTATGATACTTGTGAGTCTGACAATAAACTGTCTTTTTTTTGTCCCTCAGTCTTCCTCTTGGGCCATCATCAATCTGAAGTCTTGGCGGCCCATTTAAAATTTAAAAACAACAATTTTCAATTTTCGTATCCTCTACTAAAAGGATGCGAAAAGAAAGGCAGAGACGAATGGTCACAGGAAGAAGAAGAAGAAGAGAATAGGTGGTCTTCCACGATATTTCTCTGGACCTCTCCAGCAGAAATGTGTTGTACTAACAATTATTCTGAGTCTCCGTGTTGATCCCGTAGAAATATAACAAATCACGGAACAAGCGTATTCAGAGCTTAAGTGAGTTTGAACATATATATGGAGCTTCTAATATGGATTCTGAAACTGATTGGAGAAGTCAGTTGAAATGAGTTGGTAATGCCACTAGTAATGATGAATTCTTGACTAGTCATTGTATTGGCTTTGAAAAAGAAAGTGAAAAAGCGAGCACTTCAGGGCTCCTCATGTGTTTTTTTTTTTTTTTTTACAATTTCAGTACTCAAAAAGAGACAAATGGCTTTAGTACGGAGCACTAAGTCCAGAAACAGTAAATCCAACAACAAAAAAGTTTGATGCTTATCTTGTGCGCATGCTTCCTTATCTCTTTTATATGTTTCTGCATTTATTATTGGAGATAGTGACTTGCACAACGCTGTTTCTTTCCACTTGTGGCATGAGAACTTTACAAAACCAGAACATTTTGGCCTCATACATATAGCACACACTGAGATTTGTCCACATTTGAAACCGTTAGTAGTTAAACTACATGCTACCGAACATGCATCTTTAATTACAGTCACAAAGATGGATCGTTTTGATTACTATACCTGCTTCAACAAAATATGAAACTCCCGCCAATTCTTTTTTTTTACATAGTAATCACTAATCACTCTGTAGCTTTGTCTTGCTAGTTACAATTCGTGAAAACCATTACACCATATTAGCCTTGACTTAGCCCATTCTCATCACAGAACGGGTCAATAAGGTTGTACTATCTTTATTTATTTCCTCTTCAGCCAACCGTTTGTTCTATTATATTTCACATTTGCGTGCAGAAAAAGCCATGTGCATATTTTACAAAATACGCCTTTTTATTTTTACTGTTATTCAGTGTTCTCAATGTATATCTCATATTTTCTTCATACTATTAATGTAGTGACCTCTCTGGAAAAAAAAAACGTCGAAACCTATTTTCTCTTTGCAGTCATTTAGATACCTTTCATTCTTCAGAGACGGACCATGGCAGGGAACATGTTCTGATAAGAAGCCGCAAATGTCACTGTCCTAAACAAAAGCACCATCAGAATCTGATACCAGCAAAATCCACTGAATGAAGTCTGTTTCATCCAGGGCCGGCCCTGAAAATAAGGGGGCCTAATTAACCATAGTAGCCTTATCTTAACCACTGTATGCGTAGATGTTCTTTTCCACGCCAGATACTATATTGGAATGATATGAGAAGTTTTAGTAACTCGATAACACATTTGAACAATATAAGACAACTTAAATACCAATATCAAAATGTTGGTGGCCTAGAAAAGAATATTAGTTTTGTTGTGTTTAGGATTCAAACCACCTTTGATATAAAATTTTAATACTAATTCAGAAATTTCAAATGCTGAGCATATACAAATAATAGATCTAAGGTCTAGAATCTTTATTGTGATAAGAAAAACAAAAATGAAATGAAAAATATCAGTGAAGAAAAGCGCCAACTTGTCCATAAACTAACGTGAAAAAAACAAAAGGCTGTGTATCACTAAAGAAAAAGGGGGAAAAGCGATCAAAGTGGGTCGCAAATCAAAATCCTAAATCAAGATATATTATCTGGGTCCTAGGCACAATCATCTTGGTAAGTTTATGTGTCAGTCAGTAAAGGATATCTACAAAACTTTTCTGCTTTTGCAGGTAGTGAAAAGTTATTGTTCCAAAAGTATAATTACATTATTATCTGTTTTCCATGAAAGTAACAGGTAAATCACATTATTACTGTTGATTTCTGTTTGAGTTCAGTAGTTCACTAGCAAATCCTGTTCTTTTGGTTGAAATGTGAAAAGTTTATACATGATATAATCTTTGCTAAGTTAAAATCATATTAGTGATCTACAAATATTGGTAGGTTGTTGACTTGTTTCGAATCTAACTTTGAAGAAATAACTAACTTAAATTAGATTTGGGTACAGAATCTTGTCCTAATCCAAGTGAAGAGGCTTCATTTAAATAATCACCACTTTTAGAAAGTAAAATAGAAGAATAAAAGAAATCAAAGTTCATACAAGATGTACATAGTAACAAAGTGGTTATATATTGTTGTGGTTTAGTCTATTGTTTTTTTTTGTTTTTTAAAGCTATCTATTGGTTGAAGTTAGTGATCGAATTTTACTGATTGCTACAAACTCTCGATTTTGGTATAGAAAACCTATGATTGATACTTAGCAAGTGTCAGTTAACCTAATATAACCCAAAATGAGTCAGCAAAGGAAATGATGGGTTATAATTATATAGGTCCCATGTTATTGAGGATTGAGACACTTGAATCTAAACCTAAAGCATTATACAGTTTGTATTCATCTTGCTTACTGGAACCTCATCACCTGCTTACTCACTTGTTTCCTTTTTGATTGTATCAAAAGAGCGAATATATACCCTTGTATTTTATATAACCGAAAAGGTCTTTCCCCCACTTTACCTACCTGATGATGTGCATAAACATGTATTCACATCACATGTTATATATGTACAGTTTAAGTTTCTGATGTCATCATAGCTAACCCTGTTTTAGGACACATATCTTGAATTTTGCATTTCTTGAATTAAAATTGTAATCTAAAAATAAAAAAGGTTGTTGTGTGGTATATAAACATGCATTACAATAGTGTGCAAGTTACTTTTATTTTACTAGAAAAAACAAATTAAGATCCTCTATATCATAATGGAGTCCTAGTTCAAATCAAAAGGGTTGCACAGTTACCTGCTTTTGGGTAGATACACACATACACATGATATATATATATACCTCTTGTGCCTCCTCAGAGTCCATCAAAACTCTCATTTCTCATTCTTTTTTCTGCTAGGTTTGATTTTTTTTTTAAAGCTAAAAGTTATGCTTGATCCTCAATCACCAATCTCACCTCACCTATACCCACAAGCAATTCAACTCAAACTGTATCAAGCCTTCATCTTCGCCATTCCCATCTTATTTTCCATCATTCTCTTCCTCTTGTTCTATCTTTTCTACCTTAAGAGAAGAGCCTCTTCTCTCTCCTCTCCTCCAATGATTCTTCCTGTTTCCTCCACCCACCAGCCTTCTCATCTCCCCTCGGTAAGTGTCACAATGTTTCTGTAGATATATATATAGTACTGAATTATTCATATCAGGAAATAATAGAGCTATGGTCTTGTTGATGTGAGCTTGCTAAAGAGAATTTATGTGCTAATCATGTGATATCATGTTATATAAAGTTATATGAAGAAAACTGTTGAGATTGATTGTGTTTTATATTGCAGGTTTGTTTGATAGATGTGAAAGTAGAGCTGAAAGAAAAGCTTCATGTCGTTTTGTTCAATGAAGAATTAGAAACAAACGATTCTCTGTAAGTTACTCTTCTTTCATAAAATATTAATGAAATTTCTGCAAAGAGTTAATTGTTCTTTTAAGAGAAATTTATCTCCACATTAAAAAAAAAAACATTTTACTCAAAATTTCTCTTTTCAAAATAAACACCTTTAATATCGTCTCATCGTCATGATATTCAGATTGAATTTATCAAATCGTTTGGAAAATTTACTCTTACTATTTGTGAATTTTTATGAGCTTGAACTCTAACTGTCAAGATTCTTCTAGATAACAGTGTTGATATACGAATTGAGATGTCTAATTAAGAATTATCCTCTTGGAAGATGAAATATACGAATTGAGATACTCTTTGTTCACAAGTGTTTTTAGGCCGTTGCTTAGAGCAAAGGAATATTAAAAGTAAAGACGGAAAGTTTAAATTCGAGATAAGACCAAAGTGGATGTTTTAGACAACATTTACCTTTATTGTTTCTAGAGTTTTGTCCTCAGGTCTAAATAGTCCTAAGCATAAATATAGTGTATTACTTTTCAAATCCCTGTATTTATTATTATTGGTTTTTGTTTTGATTGGTTAAATGAAAACTGGTGCAGATGTTGTGTTTGTTTGGGAGAATTCGAGTTGAAGGAAGAGTTGGTGGAAATGCCTTCATGCAAACACATATTTCATCTCGACTGTATTCAACTTTGGCTTTATTCTCACACCACTTGCCCTCTCTGCCGTTCCTCTGTCTTCATCTCTTTGACCAAAACCTCTATCGACGACGGCAACAACGACTATCCAGATTCTCCTCAAACTACCTCACCAGTTTGACTCACTAGTCTGAAAGAAATAAGCAGGATACAAGTTTTGTTAGTCAATAGATCAATACAAAATGTAAATTCTTAGTTTTACTTGTTTAAGAGATCAACATGTACACCATTACTCCCTGTCTTCGCTTGAGGCAAATGTATTATTGCTGTAAAAGATGAAAGTTACTTGATGAAGAAGTAACCTAACCCTATAAATGAAGAGGCCTTTTATCATTCACATTCTTTGATCGTTCCACCATTTCCTGTAAGTCCCTCCTTCCAACAAAAAAAAATCAGATAGATGCACCGAGGAACATGAAGATGTAAAGCCAAAACCATGGATCTGATGACTTAGGGAACACGCCAACTCCATAGATTAGGGCAAGTTGGTAAAATTCCATAGACTGTAAGAGAAATGGAGCAAAACGGCCAAATTGTAAAATATCTATAGCCTAAACCCATCAATATGCCCAGTAACATGAACCCATAAGTAAATTGGCTATACTTTGAGACCATTCATGAAGACCAATCACCAATATCTCATTTGTTGGCCCACTACATCTGTGAGGCATTTTGGGAGATTATAAAATGCATCTCTCTGGAATCTGCAAAACACTGATCTCCATACTCCACAGTGGAGTATAAACTCTGAATAGTAGTCTTCTACTAATGACCCGTAGCTGAATCTAATATTTATAGTTTTTGCATGACAATTTGATGTTATATCATACGTCAATCTGAACAATAAAGAAACCAATAAATTAGGGTGCGCTATCCGTTTAGATTTATTCGGATTTTGGATATTATATCTAAATTTTAAGCACCATTTCAATATTTACAAATTTCAGTTTAGGTTATGTTCTGATCATCGCAGGTTTGGTTTGGATTTGAATGCCCATTTAATAAGTCAAACACTTGCATACATTTCATGTGTGTAATATGAACAACATTGCTTCACTTTCAGTTAAACACTCCACTTTAATATTGATAAATTATTAGAAAGTAAAACGACGAGGCCGAATTCGAGGTAAAATAAACAAAAGCAGCAAGTATAAATCTAAGGGTTTGGTCGAAATGCAAATCTTGAAACGACAAGAACTGGGAACAACAAACAGCGATTTCATTTCATTTATGTTCTTACATTGCAGTTGGTGTGACCAAAATAGCTTTGCAATTTCCCAAGTCCATGACATTGCAATTTTTTTCGAACACACTATAATCACAATAGCTAATCAAACCAGAACCCTACTAAACTCTTTCAAAGTATATCACTTCACATAGTACTTCATCCTAATCATGGATTTTACTGCTTGGTTTCCACTGCTTAATCAGTGCTGAAAGAACCATGACAACATGATCCATATCTTTGCTCAGGTTTCTTGCATATCATTGACTTGCTAGTTTAGATACCTCATAGATTATCTAGCTTCCTGGTTGGTTATGAGCTTTATGAGGATGAAACCAAAGCTGTAACATTTACCTTTCTTGTAATCCTTTTGTACATTGCTGTTACAAATATTTCAATTGTTAGCTAGAAAAGTCATTTACTTTGTTAGAATAAAATATAGATATTAATAGAGAGGTGTTTTTTAAAAAAAGGTATTTAAAAAAAAGAGGATATTGACAGCGAAATGAGAAAACTATACTATACTTCGGGCGATGGAACCTATTGTCCCAATTATTGAAGTTAAACTTGATTTTGAGCTTTGCTTAATTATGGGTTCCAATAATCTTATTGGACTGAACCCAAAGTTAAACAAGTTCTAGAATCTTTCTAAAAAAATCATCAGCTCTTCAAGTAGAATAATATCTATATATTGTAGTAGAAAAATCTAGAGAATGCGAATAAAAATATAAGAAGTAAGGAGGTTATACTAGAATAATCTAGATATTTGTAAGATAGTTTAGGAGGCTATAAATACCTCTCACCCTCTCATTTGTAAACAACACAAGAAGTTGAACAAGTAAAATAATAATAAAGTTATCTTAAAAGAAAGAAAAAATGTCTATTCAAAGTTCTCTAAATCCTTTTGAGAATTATTATTTTTCATATTTAGAAGTTCTCTTGTTTCTTTCGGTCTTTCGGATACTACAGAGTACAGTCTTGGGCTAGTGCTAAGCATTATCAAATTTGTTTTTTTCTTAAATACACTTGGTCTTTATTGATTCTCTGCCTTCAACTGTAGCAATGACTAAACCAAAGTCCGAAATTGTGTCTCGCAAATCTTATCCAAGAAAAATGTTTGGCGGTTTTAGGCACATATGAATATAGCTTTGACATTTAAGAGCCAGCATATGGAGATATTCTAATCCGTGAGCCACATCCAACGCAACCTTAAGACGTGGAATCTCCAAACCTGCTTTCCCCTAGTAAATTGTCAACTCCAAAGATTTTTTTTTTGCGTTTTAACAAATTGCATTGGGCTAACTTTGGTCTCATCTATCTCATTTTTGTTCTTAGCTATAAAATGATGTTCTGCTTTACAGCATCTTTTTTCCTTTTAAACATAAGATAATAATAGAATTTAATATAAGTTGTAACAAGTCAACCGTTTGCACAAATACCCTTCACAATACATGCATGCAAAAGATGTCTTAAATGTGAAATTGATTTTTTTGAGAAACACCCAACAAAACAAATAGCAAGAACCAACCAACCAACCGACTAAACCAAAAAACCAAACCGATGTGGGCTTGGCTGCTTTTAGAAATTTGGTTTTGTTTTTGTTTGGTTGGGTTTAGCTGCTTCAGACCGATTCAAAACTATGTAGGTTTGTTTTAATACTGTAGTCTAAGCACAAGTTGCAACTATTTTGCATTTTATTCTATTAACCAAATAAATTAAATGTGCATTTTGTTAGAGCATGAGTAATGGTGTTACTCAAGTGGAACCCTTAAAAAAATGATTTTTAATTATTTTTTTCAGATAAAAAAAAAAATTTCAATCAAACACAAACCGTCATGTATCAGTGGGATCCGTAAACACTAACGAGATTCCTTATGTTTCAATCAATAATTAAGGATTTTAAAGATTCTTTTACCTAAAATCTTTAGTTATTTAATTTATTAAATTGTTTTTTCCTAAAGATTTCACTTAAGGACCTTCATTGGAGGCGTCTTTAATGGGCATCAGACATGTAAATTCAGGTAAAAACTAGTTGCATATTCTTTTCTAAAAATCAAAGCGAACAAACCAATTAATAAAAATGGATAGTTCGTATCTAGCTAAACTGATTAACCAAAATTCACCTGTTAAACTAGTTACAATGGAAAAATTATTCAACATCCTAAAATACATTTTTTTTTTTAATATTCCACATTAACATTTTTAAAATTTTACTTTACAATGGTTTTGTTTTCAACACTCTACCAAACTATTTTGTCTAATATTTTTTTAATAAAAAATATATTTTATGTATCCAAATTAAATAAACTAAATCTCTAATTATAAGTCACAAAATTGATAATTTTTTTATAAAACCTTTTTAAAAGATATAATTTATTATAAGATAAATGAGAGTAAATATGTAAGATGTGAAAAAAAAGTATCAAAAATAGATCCCACTTGTGTGCTTTCAACCCGTTGAAAGTATTCAACTACAATGAATCCACCTCAGATTTTTTGGTTTTTCAACTACTTCATTGCAGCTATTAAATATTTGAAAAATATTTTTTTAACTTCAAGTTTTGTAAGTCAAGAGATTTACAAAGTGTAAATTCTTAGTTATGCTTGTTCAAGAGATGAACATGTCAAAAAAAAAAAAAAAAAAAAAGAGATC